GAGAGAGAGAGAGAGAGAGAGAGAGAGAGAGAGAGAGAGAGAGAGAGAAGGGGGGGACTAGGGATGGAACTCAGGGTCTTACTTAAACTAAGCCAAGTGATCTACCAACAAACTTGAAGTAGTTAAAACATTGATTTTGAGGTGAAAAAGACAGCTAATGATGTAAGTTAACATCTTCTTTCTATAAAAATTTAATCTAAATTTTTAAAAATTATATGTACGTATGTATGGGTATGGGTATGTGAATGCAGGTGCCTGCAGAGGCCAGAGGTGTTGAATACCCTGGAGGTGGATCTACAGGTGTTTGTGATGGAAGTACTGAGAACTAAACTAGGGTCCTTAAAAGACAGCAAGTGCTCTTAACTGCTGATTCATCTCTCCAATTCCCCTTCCCACCACCCCACGTTTCTGTTGTAATTGTGAGCATGTGTGTGTATGTATGAAAAAGGTGGGGGGAAGCAAGGGGAGAGACAAAGTGACAGAGACAGTGAGCAAGAGCCCACATTCATATGCCATAGTATGTCTACGAAGGTAGAAGGGCAACCCTGAATGTTAGCACTTGTCATCCACCTCATTTGTATGCCAAACTAACTGGCTAGTAGGCTTCTTACAGACATATGCACTACAGTACTCAGCTTTTGTGTGGTTTCTGGGTCAGGCTTGTGCAGCAAGCACTTTGCCCACTGAGTCATATCGTTAGCCCAAATATGCTGACCTACTGAATCATTATGTCCTCACATACTGTGAAATTCAGTGTTCATTTCTGTCTTCACATACTTAACTTTTCAGTAGCATTTGATCCTAGTGATCACTCTCTCCTAGGAATACTTCATTGAAATTCTATAAAATACCATATAAACCATATTTTTAATAATATAATGTTGTACTATTCAATACTTCTATCACTTATTTTTTCTAACTATATTCCCTCCTACAATTACCTGGACTGCTGCAACTTTGAATCTGTCAATAGTCCTTATTATTGTTGTTGTTTTGTTTTGAGATGTGGGTCTTTCTATACAGCCCTGGCTGTCCTGGAATTCACTATGCAGACCAGACTGGTTTGGAATTCAGAGATCTGCCTGTCTCTCTCTCCCAAGAAAGGCATGTACCACCATGCCTGGCCTCAGCTACTTACTTTATATCTTCAGTTCACACCTTCTTCTAAAACCCAAAGGCAACATTACTGGACCTCCTGGATGTCAAATAGGCAACTCAAAATGAGTATGTCCAAGGCAAGAATCTTAAATCCCCCTATTCTTCTAAACCTGCTAGTTGTACATTCTTCCTTATTTCAACCATAGCAATGCTACTTTACATGAGGCTCATGCAAATTATGACAGTCATCTTTTCCCTCACATCCAAAATCCTGTCCAATCCTAACTACTTACACTCAAAATACATTTAAAATTTGGCCCCTTTTTAGTGTTTCTAACATTAACCCTCATTACCATTCTTGGCTCCTTATCTTTCTCCTGGACGAGGGTTATAGTTTTTAAATTGGCCTCTCTCATTCTACTTTTTTCGAACATAGTGGCACTACAGTTGTCACAGTGACTTATTAAAAAAACAACCCTACATCAAATCATTGTTATATGAGCATAACTTTCAATGGTTTCTTGTTGTGGAATATTCCTTTACACTGTGAAGATATGTCACTGTGATTGGTTTAATAAAAAGCTAAATGGCCAATAACTAGGCAGGATTTTCAGGGCAGAGAGAATGCTGAGAAGAAGGTGGACCTGCCAGCAAGACACAGAGGAAGCAACATGGGCATTACAAAGTAAAGGTAACCCAGCCACGTAAAAGAAAAGAGATTAAAAGATATGCGTTAATTTAACTTATAAGAGCTAGTCAGAAACAAGCCTAAGCTATTAGCTGAGCTTTCATAATTAATAAAATGTCTCTGTGGTTATTTTTGAGCTAGCTGGCAGGACAGAGAAAGACTCGCTACAGTTTCTCTATCATTTTAGGCAGAAGTACAAGTTACCAGAATGGACTATAAGGCCTCCATAGGATCTGAGCAGGTTACTTTTCTGCTTTAATTCTTGACTACTCTATCTTACTTTATTCCACAATTATCTCCTTAGTGTCCTATTATATAACCAACATGTTTTGGCTGCAGGGTCCTTGAACAGGTCAACCTTCTTTTAAATCACTCTTCCGGTAGCCACATGTCAAGCTCACTCCACTCCTTCAAGTCTTTTCTGTAAAGCTGTCCCATACACAGCAATTTAAGGGACACTCCCTACTTGTCTTACAACACTATTTCTCTCCACAGTACTTGTTAGTCAATGTATTTTTCTTTAGTTCCCTGCAGTCAGCTATCTTGCTTCACTAGAATGAACTTTGTGCTATCAGTTTGATTTTTTTGCAACTAATTTCCCAGCAGTTAAAACAATTCCTCAATAAATGTCTCTTTCTACCAAAGCAATGTGTGTGTGCGTGTGTGTGTGTGTGTGTGTGTGTGTGTGTGTGTGTGTGTGTGTGTATAAATACACATACTTTGCAAAACATTGTGTTTGGTAAAATTATACTTTAAAAAGAACTTATCGTCAAATAGAATAGAATAAACCAAGGACTCTACTACTTTACAATCTGAACATTAAAACAACTAGTAACTGTTAGTAACTTAGGCTAGAATCTCCTAAGCAGGAGCCTTAAGCAGAGCCTGAACACTGCCTCAGGAGATATTTAAAAACACCAAACAAACCTGGCATGTTGGCAAATGCCTACAATTGGAACACACAGGTGTTTGAAGCAAAAGAACTGTGTGTTCAAGGCTAGCCTATGTCTCAAACAACAACAACAAAAACACGAAGCAAAAAAGCTATGTGTTCAAGGCTAGCCTATGTCTCAAACCAAAAAAAGAAAAAAGTGAAGCAAAAGAGCTGTGTGTTCAAGGCTAGTCTGTCTCAAAAAAAATTTTTTTTTTATTTTGTAAAGTCAAACAACCAACTAAAAACAAAAACCCTGACTAACCACTAGAACTGAAAACTGCAGAAATGCTTTCTTAGTTGAGGTGCTCAGTAAATACAGCCAATGGCATCCGCTAGTTAGACTTAAAAAGAAATGGGGTCTCTTCCACAGTAAATGTGTTACAGAGGCATCCAAAAACTTGCCTGGGCTGCAAGTAAGGTGAGGGCTTTTTCTGTTCATGTCTAAGATTAAAATTCCACTCTTACTATTCTAGCTCCCTTTAACTATACAGGACCCAACAATGTCTATTACAACAGGTAGTCCCCATTTATCTCTGAGCAGAGAAACACATAACCACATTTTTCTTTTTTTTTTTGGTCAGAGGGAGGGGTTGGGTCTTGAACCACAGAGTGTTAACATATGTGCTCAACCACTGAGCTACACACCCAACCTAAAAATAATGAAAGGACTTAACTTAAAATCACTACATAAGTACAAGACTAATGTGAAAAAAAATATAGTACAAAAAATACACTTATCTGTTATAAATTATAGGTCACAAATCTAGAACAAGCCAGGTAAGTATAGGTTACATATCTAAAAACATCATAAAGCTAGTACTTACAGAAATTTCAGGATTGGAAAGCTCATATAAAAGTTTCTTGGCATCAATAACTGCTTCATATAACCTCAGATATTGTCCATCACTAGCTACAAAGCATGCACTAGGAGAGTTGCAGTATGCACCTAGAAAGTATTTATAAACATTTACTATTTAACCTTTTAGCAAGAGTGTCTGAAAATCAAGTAACTGAAATAAAATCACAGTATGCTTACCTAGACAGTAACTGGGTATAAGAGTAGGTAGCCATGCCACATTGGAAAAGGCAGAAACATGAAGAGAATTAATCCGGGCCAGCTCAGACACTCCTCCAGAAAAAGATAATGGCCCAACTGGATCAACCCTCCAAAGAATAAGTTCACTATAAATCGCGTTGGGATCTTGAAATGCCATATCAACATTGTTTTTATTTTGCTGTGTCAAGAAACATTCTTCAGTATTTACAGTGTCATGAGCTTGCTTTTGGTTACCCACATTGGGTGTCCTTAATGCATTATGGTGTGAAGTTGTCAGTAGTAATGGTAACACTGAGTGGCAAGCTAAATCATTAAGATGAAAACGATGACCACAATATCTGGATTTGTGAGAAATACTAAGAACTGTAGAAAAGGCAGATTCCTCAGCAAAACTAACCAGCCACTGATTCAAAGAACCATCAGCATGCTTTGAAATCATCATAACGTTAGGAGTAAAAATACTTAATTTTAAATTGTTTGATGATTTACTGTGAGCAGAGGAGATAAGCATTGACGTGGAACGAGTAAGGCCAGTAGGTTTCTGTTTTCCTTGTTGAATGGCCAAGTCAACATTCTTAGTACAGGCATACATAACTATGCTTTTACAGAGAGAGTTTGCATCACCTGTGGGGAAAGCTACAGGAATTCTGGAGACAAAGGACACCTAGAATTAAGAAACAAGGCATTAGAACATACACTTACATAAAAACATATTACAAAAAGTTTTCACATAAAAAAGAAGCAACGCATTATAGTTGATATAGATGATTAACAATACCTGTACTTGACGAAACATACCAGGCTGGTATTCATCCAGCCAATCCACATGCCAAACTAGTAAAGAACCATCCATAGGATGAATACTGAAAAGCATGTCTGCATTTTTACTCCATTCAGATAGAAGCACTTCAATCTGATGATCAATGGCAGCTGACGATAATGGTGTAAAACTTGAGTTTGGTAACGTTTTATCTTCACCCAATTCCTTCTTCTCATGAGTTATTTTTAAATCATCAACACCATCCTCCATTTCTATAAGCAAAAGAGTTCATGAACCAAGTGAATACAATAAAGCTATCACTACAAATTAAGACAGAGCTTTCTAAATAAATTCAAAATGAAAAACTATACTTTTGTATTAACAAGAAATAAGGGCAATGAAGTTAACTTAGTAATCAGACAGCTACCAGGGCTATTAACATACACAAGCATGCACTTCTTTACTTCTTTCAAAAAGCCCAGACTCTATGCCTTCTCCTCAACTCCTGTATCAGGAATACAGAGAAGTTTCTAAAGAGGCAATTAAAACATTATTTATCAGATTTAAATGAAAATAAGTAACATGAGCAAGAACATTTATACCAAGTTATTGAATGAGCTAATCTGTATTTACATTATGCCATAACAATCTTGGAGATAATCTCTGACAATATATAGTTTTATCCTCATATGAAAACTATTTATTTATGGCTGAAAATTTAAAATTTCATCCTTAAGTCTTTACCTTCATCAGATTTTATATCTGCCTGAGTAGAGTCTTCTACACTGGCCTCTGATGAGGGCTGTTCAAAGCTTTTTCTAAGTTGCTGTAAGAAGACTTCCATGGACAATGTAAAATGCAGCTCTTTATTGTTTAACCAGTGTACCACAAAAGGTCCACACTTCTCTTCATTTTCACTTAAACTTAAAGATGTAATAGATGGAAGAAGTGGGATGTCTATAAAGAAAAACAAATCACAAAATTCAAATTTTGAACAACTGTAACATAGAATACATTTACACTTTCTATTTTCATTATTGACATTATACTTACCTTCTTTTATTTGAGAAAAACTTAACTCATTTTAAATTGAACTTATTTTTTTATAGCCAGAAATTGGAAACAGCGTAGATGTCCATCAACTGATAAATGAATAATGAAAAATGTGGTACATTTACACAATGGAATATTGTTCAAATGTTTAATAAAATTATGAAATTTGCAGGTAAATGAATGAACTGGAAAAAAAGCATCCTGAGTGACATAATCCTGAGTGACAGACCACAAAGGGCAAATACCACATGTTTTCTCTAATATGTGGATATTAGCTTATAAGTTTTTGATGTGTGTGCTAAATAACCACAATGTTCGGAACTAGTAAGAAACCAGGGGGCAGGAGAAGATGTCTCAAGGAAGGGGAGATAGAATATAGTATTATAGAGAGATAAAGGAGAAACTATAATCGGAGGGCTAAATGTCAAGATAAGACAGGGATAAGAAGACAGGGTAAAGGGGGAAATTTGAGGAGGGAAAAGTAACACTAAAGGCCATTTCAAAGACCATATGAAAATCTATTATAGAAGTTTCCATACACACAAACACACACACACACACACACACACACACACACACACACACACACACACACACACACACACGAAAAGAATTTAAATGGAGTCACCAGATAGGGGAAAGACAATGACCCAACTAGACATCTTTTTTGGGGGGGCAGGTTTCGAGACAGGGTTTCTCTGTGTAGCTTTGGTGCCTGTCTTGGATCTCGCTCTGTAGACCAGGCTGGCCTCAAACTCACAGAGATCCACCTGGCTCTGCCTCCCAGTGCTGAGATTAAAGGTGTGCACTACCACAAGACATCTTATATCACCAAGAAAAACCTCCAGTGAGTGCCAGGAATGAGTTACATCTTATTGTCGTCCAAAGGGGTGCCAGGAACCCTTCCTCTCTGAAATATCACAGGCAATTGTCAAGGCTATTAGTTGCTCTCTACAACCTAACAGTGAGTCCCTATTGTTGAAGACAAGGTTTACTTGTGCTATCGAAAATGGAGAAACTAAGTTGGTACCCTACTAGAAGCTTTACTCCTATTGTCTAGTGTTCATGGTGCTGGAAGGTACTCTGCATACTACTGGAAAAGAACAATTATCATCAATCTCACCCAGCTATGAACCCTGTAACCTAGAACAGCAACCTGCCTGCAAGGTATACTGGTATAACAGTGGCACAAATGTTATGGGATTAACCAACCATTTTCTGACTGGATTCAGGGCCCATTCCATGAAATGAAACCCACATCTGACACTGTTAAAGTGCTCAAGAACCTGAAACTAGATAGGTCACTACTATTCTGCTAAAGGGACACAGCAATAAAATGACTCCTAATGGCTTATTGCTCTACCCATAGTGCCTGGTTCAACCCCTCATCAGAGAAGCTTCCTGCAGTAGATGGTGATTAACAAAGAGATTCACCAACAGGAAAATGTACAGAGAATGAGAGACTTTGTAGCACTCAGTCCTAAATAAGTGTCTTTATCAAACCCCTCCCCTGAAGGTAGAGTGATCGAAGCATGAGAGGAGGCAGAAGGACTGTAAGAGTCAAAGATGATGGATGACTCCAAGGAAACAGTGTCTTCTGGACACAACAGGATTGATGCACATAAGAACTCAAAGACTGTGGCAGCACACACAAGATCTGCAAAGTTCAAGCCATATGGGGTCCCATTACTGAGAGGGGGAAAATGGACATAAAGTCCCAGCTCTAACACAATAGTTATTTCTAGTCAATACCTGCTGGCAAAGGGAAAAATCAGTTTTCTACAATGGAGTGTCACTGGATATATCAACCACATTCTAAGGTAGGTCCCATATCCAGGAGTAATTGGCCAATACAAAACAAACTCCATGATTTTTTTTATAGGCTTTTTGTTTGGGTACTTTTGCCTTACTGGTTTTTCTGTTTTAGTTGGGGGGGATATTGGGAGGAGCATACCACAAACATAAACTGGATGAGCAGAGAGGCTCCTGGAGGAGTTAGGGGAGAAGAAAAACATGATCAAAATATATTTTATGAAAAAAATTCAAGATAAGATAAAAAGGAATAAAAAAATGTTCCTTAGCATTACTTTGTATGTAAGTACTCAAGTATACTGAAGTACAAATCAAATCAGTTAGTACAAATATAGTCCCTAATAGAGTTAAAGTTAAATTGTCTATCATATTAATGAGATCTGGATCATGTTGTTCTATGTAGAGCTATAAAGGCTGCAATTGACTTAAAGCATACAAACAATATTCTCCAAATTAAGTTTTCTTTCATGATAAAAGATTTTTAAAAATCAATAGAATTGTCTGTTCAATTTATCTACAGTTAAAACAGAAGTGGAAACAATACTAGAAGAGATAAATGATAAAAGGAAAGAACTCTTCCCTTGATTCTACTGCCAAAGGCAAGTTTGAATACATCCAATCCAAGAGTTCCTGTTTATACCTATATATCTATTAACATAATCATTTTGATTATCTATTTATTTGCCTATCCCATATCTGATTACAGACTTCATGAGAGCAGGATGTCAGCTGTTTAAAGTGCCACTTTCCCGCCAATTCCTAACACTATTTCTAGTTTCTACTCTGGTATAGAGAAAGCTACTAAATGCCCCAAGCAGCTGAATTAATTGCCAATCTCATTATTCCTGGGTAGAGTCAGGAACTGAAAGGGTACTTCTCCAAGAACTCATGGAAAAGGCTTTCTCATTTTTGGTTTACACCAATCCAAATAAGAATACAATGCCTTTAATTGACAATAAACATTGCTGTTAAGTACAAAGATATAATACTGCTGGCTTTTAGCAAAATAAAAAGAAAGCTCAATCTCTTTTGCATCAACACCACAACCAAAGAATATGTTACTTCTGTAACAAACTTTCAGGAAGATATAAGAACTAGAGGAGAGAACATGCTGCAAACTCCTCTCCTATAGCTATAGGTAACAAATAAATAAGAAACCCAACCTAAGTAGTGCAGTGGTAGCGCACACCTTTAATCTCAGCACTTAGGCAGGTGAATCTCTGTGAATTAGAGGCCAGCCTGGTTTACAGAGAGTTCCAAGACAATAGCCAGAGCTGTTACACAGAGAAACCCAGTCTCAAAACAAGAGGCAGGGGGTGGGGTTGGGGGTGGGGGAGTGGTGAACCTAGAGCTATGCTTTCAGAAATACAGCACCTAGAAAAATTAATCCAACACATCAAATCTACAAAGAGTTCTCCATACAGTCCAAACTAACTGCAAGAAAATTATGCTTTTACATGCTCTACATTTTTGCCTTAGTCACTGCTCTATTGCTACGAATAGACAACCAAGGCAACATTTAACTGGGGGCTTGCTTATAGTTTCAGAGGTAGTGCATTATCATCATGACAGGGAGCATGGTGGCGTGCAGGTAAGCAGACTGGTGCTGGAGAAGGAGCTACATCTTGTTCTATAGGCAAAGTCTGGGCTGGCAAGGGCTTTTCAAACCTCAACGCCCACCTCTAGTGACATACTTCCTCTAACAGTGACACACCTAAATCTTCCAATCCTTCCAAACAGTGTCACTCCCTGGTGACTAAACATTCAAATATGACCCTGTGGGGCCATTCTTATTCAAACTACCAGTATTCCTTGGTGATCTACAATCCACAGAAAGTTTTAATTGTCTTTATTGAAAGACTGTCAAGGAGATGCTACAATCAAACTCAGGGTTCTCCTCTCAATAATCTCTTAGGGTTCTTTCATTCATGTGAGAATTCAAGCCTTCTTTATTCTTGTAATATTGCTGAGTTTAAATTTATTTCGTTTGTCTGAGGTACTGCAAATCAAACCAAGGGCCTCATATATGCCACTGATGTATCTAATACTGTCCTTTATTCAACAGGAGCCTTCAAAAATTATGCCACAGACCTTATAGGTAACTATATTATAAGCACTGTCAATAAATGTATTTGATAAAGGTGATGATTCCCAAACCTACATAACTTTTTTTTTTTTTTTTTTTTTTTTGGTTTTTCGAGACAGGGTTTCTCTGCGTAGCTTTGCGCCTTTCCTGGAGCTCACTTGGTAGCCCAGGCTGGCCTCGAACTCACAGAGATCCGCCTGGCTCTGCCTCCCGAGTGCTGGGATTAAAGGCGTGCGCCACCACCGCCCGGCCTCCTACATAACTTTTTAATGAAGACAAATATATGACATTGATATTTTCTTGGCTCGTGGATACTTTTACAACTAGGATTACAGTCAATCAAATACAGGCTAAAATCAAAAGTAATTTTTAATTCCTACCGAAAGTATCTCTATGCTTTGACTTAGCAGAGCTCATTCTGGTGAAGAGAATTCTACTTCAGTAATTAACTGATAATTCCACTGCTATATTTCCTTGAAAAGTACAATACTGCATGAGGGAGGAAAGGGGCAGGGAGGAGAGGGATGAGAGAAGATGGGAGAAAGGAAAGAGGGACTATATTCTGTAAGATATAAAAAACAACCAACTGTTCTAGGGAAAGGGACTAAAGTGTGGAGGTCAAATAAGTCATTTACTTTCCACCTTTCTATAGAGGTGGTATTAATTATGTGCAAGTATTAACTTTCATTTTTTTGAAAGAAATATTTTAAAATACTACTTTAAGTTCCTCAGCTGTGGCCCCTGACTTTTATCCACAGAAAATATTTACTAAACTGTTAACTACTTCAATCTCCAAATTCCTAGGTAGATCTAGATTGTATTCCACTACAGAGCTAATTACCTGTGGCTGGGTTGATGCTGGCTGCAATATGAAAGTGACAAAGTGCATTGGCATGCAATGGTGTGTTCCTGTGGACATGGTGAGGATCCTGCTGATGAGGCAGATAGCCTGTATGTGCTACAAGAGCAAGTGATCTCCTCCGACCTCTACGGAAAGGTCTCAGATTTCCCTGTAGAAATAGAAACAAAGTAAAATGACTGCTACATTAGGACTGTCAGAATGGATATATATGCTATTTTATGTGTGTATATATATATATATATATATATAAATATATATATACACATATATATATACATACCTCTGTATAGCAAATTTGAATCCTGAAGAATAAGTATCTGTCCTACTCTTTTCATATTTGTTTTCCAACATCTAAAATCCATTTCCAGAACTTAAAAGTAAAAAAATAAAAACCAACCAGACAACTAACAAAAGAAAAGCCAGAAAAAACCAATAGTGTGGACATAATGGTGGACACTTGGAATCTCAGCACCAGGAAGAGAGGCAGAAAGACCTCTGACTGAGTTCTAGGCTAGCCTGGTCTATACAGTGAGCTTGCCAGTGCTATAGAGTAAGACCTTGTCTCCAAAAATAAAATGAAATAACAACCAAGATGCTGTCTGTATATTGTCTTTGTCCATAGCTTAACCTCTATTAACTATGAAGCAGTGAATGATATTACCATCATGTACTAAGTTATCTGATTTTACGTGGTATCCAGCTTAAACACTGCTATTTTAATATTTCATAATATAAAATAGTTCATATAGAACCTAACTAAGGTTATCTAGTCAGTAAAAATCAAAGTAGAATATAGATTCCTAGTCTAACACTTTGTTATTACACAAGGCCATTCTGTGGTTGAATATACAATACAGCTTAATTAGACTCTGAGCCATTAGAAAAATACTTGTTCTTTCCGGCAGTGGTGGTACACTCCTTTAATCCTAGCACTTAGAAGGCAGAGGCAGGTGGATCTCTGTGAGTTCGAGGCCAGCATGGTCTACAGGGTGAGTTCCAGGACAGCCAAAACGGTTTCACAGAGAAAATGTCTTGAAACACCAAAACAAAACAACAACAACAAAACACTTGTTCAGCTGGTCATGGTGATGCACGCTTTAATCCCAGCACTCTTGAGGAGGAGGCAGGAGCATTTATGTGACTTTGAGCCTATCCTGGACTCCATAGTGAGTTCCAGAACAGCCAGAGGTACATAATGAGACCCTGTCACAAAAAAAAAAAAAAAAGGAAAAAAAGTTGCTCTGTGGTAGTTTGAATGTAAATGCCCCCATAAGCTCATAAGCTCATAGGGAGTGACACTATTAGGAAGTGTGGCTTTGTTGGAGGAGGTATGGCCTTGTTGGATTAAGTGTGTCACGTGGGGGGGGGGGAGGCTGCTCAAGCTATGTCCAGTGTCTGTCTATTTCCTGTGGCCTACATAAGGATCAAGACGTGGGACTCTCAGCTCTGTCTCCAGCACCATGTTTGCCTACACAGCTATGTTCCACCACAATAATAATGGACTAAATTTCTCAAAACAGTAAGCCATCCCAATTAAATGTTTTCCTTGACATGAACTGCCATGGTCATGGTCTCTTCACATCAATAGAAGCCCTAAGACATGCCCTATACATACAAATTTAAAGACAAATCATGTTCTGGACACTCCATGTTTTAATATTAAGGAACCAGTAAAAAGCCAGGTGTGTTGATGCACACCTTTAATCCCAGAACTTGGGAGGCAGAGGGAGAAGCAGGCAGATCTCTGAGTTCCAAGCCAAGAAAAAAGAAAGAGAAAGAGGAAGAGGAGGGGAGGAGAGGGGCAAAGGGATGGGAGCGAGGCAGGGAAAAGGAGGGGAGGAAGAGGAGAAGAGACACTGAGTCAGTATTTTTATTCTATTTTCAATAAGAAACGGACTCACACTTATAATCCCAGAACACAAGAGACTGAGACAGGATGACTGGCATGAAACTGACATCATCCTGGAACTACAATGTAAGACTTCATTTCCAAAGAGCAAAATTTGTTGTATATTCAATTAGCCCAAACATCAAACATTGACTTTTACTGTCAATTGCTGTGGATATTACTCTATATAAATAAAACACTGATGGCCAGTGACCAGGCAGGAAGTAGGTGGCCAGGCAGGAAGTAGATGGGACAAGGAGAGAGGAGGATTCTGGGAAGTGGAAGGCTGAGAGGGGAGACACTGCAGCCACCGCCAGGACAAGTAGCATGTAAAGACGCCAGTAAGCCACCAGCCACATGGCAAGGTATAGATTTATAAAAATGGGTTAATTTAAGATATAAGAACAGTTAGCAAGAAGCCT